ACTCATTTAGAACCACAATGAGCAGGGAAGGGAGATGATGTTGTTATTCCCCAGATAGGAGGACTGGGGAACATGAGAGTCAACATATTTCCCCAAAGTTAGATGTATCACATAAATACAAGAGACAGCCCTGATGTCTTTCCCTTCTTAATCCAGACCCCCTGAACTGCACCGGATTCCAGAAATTGTAGAGAAGTGCCTTTGACAGTCTTCCTGAGATTCTTTGGTACCTTTGTGTGTGAAATGAGTACGAGGATGGCAGCTGCGGAACCGTGAAGGCTTATCTTGGTAAACATCCAAAGCAGCAGAGGTGCTCCTTGACTTATGTCAAGGTCACATCCTGATAAACCCTTCGTAAATTGAAAATACTAAGTCGGAAATGCATTTAATACACCTTGCCTTCCAAACATTATGTTTAACTGAGCCCACCTTTAAAATGCTTAGGAAACTTACGTTAGCCTAAAGTTGGGCAAAATTATCTAACACAAGCCTATTTGATAATCAAGTGTCGAATATCTCCTAAATTTGAATACCGAACTGACAGTGAAAAACAGGACTGGGTCATTGTGTAGGTGTGCTTCTGCACCATCAAAAAGTTGAAAAGTCATTAGGTGGGACCATCATAAATTAGGGACCATTGACATTGGCTCTGTGGCTCTAGACAGGTGTCCATCTGGAGACCAGGCACGTTATGGCTACTGGTTGTAGAAACCCTATCTCTATCTTCCTAGTTTCTCTCTGCAAAAATTGAAATGGGTATATGTAATTGAATAGACTTCCAATCTGTTTTTCACACATATTCAAGGCATGGTTCCTACCAACACAATGTCCAGTTTTTCCAAATAACAAAAACTGAATGCATAATCTAATAAATTATGTTTTCAGATTTTTAAAGTTACATATACATACATGTCTACATATGTGACTATAAATCTCTTAATTTTACATCATATAGTTATAGAATGATATTACATTTAATTATTTTTAATATTTGAATGAATCATATTTATTAAAAATAATAATATGGCATAACATTTACAGTTGCCCTGGATAAACCACCAGACCTTGAATGAGTATTCTTCATTATGTAATAGGACTGGGGTACGTTAGTAGCTGGCATCAGCCTTCCTCTTTGCATCTTTCTTGGGAAACTTTTAGCATGGATCGTCCCCGAGGAGGTGAGAAAAAACTGAGACATCAGGGAAGCGGCTCCTGCATGAAATAGATTGGCGTCACCTCCCAGAAGAAAGGGAGAAGACGATGACTCGTCCTGAGCATGAGGGAAGAAGACAGAGAACCAAGTAAAGAAACCCTGAGAACAGTCCTTCCTGTCTTGCCCTGGTACTCTTAACGAAGGCATCTTCTTACTGGGCTTTGTGTGAGTTGAGGGACTTGAAAACTACCAAGTGGCTGAATGAAACCCTGGTGTCAATCAGAGCAGAGCAGAACACAGAAGCAGCAGAAGCCCAGGGGGGCACAGGATTCATAGAGGGTCTACCTTCCCGTCTCCTTGCTTGGTGGATTCTGGGAAATACAAGGGAGGCCTCAGGCAGTGGAGTCCGAGCCCGAGTGGGAAGCCTAGAGGCCAGACTGCCTGGATCAGAGGGTGGGGAGGCCCCAGAGACGCTGGAATCACATCCCTGAGCTCATTTTGTTTAGGGGTTGGCAATGTTTAAGATAAAAGGAGGAGGAAAAAGGACTCCTTGTTTCATGGCCTGGGGTCTGAGTTTGTGTGACTTTATGACTTCTGTGTAACATAAAACATAGCACACTCGACTCCTGAGCAGAATATTGGTCTCATTTGGAATAACTTTTTAGGTGACTGGAAATTTGTTTTTTTAAAATATGGCAATATGGCTTCCTTATGATATAACCCTAATATAGAGTCAGTTTCTAAACTAAACATTGTTTCATAATGATCAACCTGGATTTTAGCTGTAAATGGCAACATAATATAGAACATATAATATAAATGGCACAAGTAATTTATAAAATCCATCCATCTTGCAGAGTCCTTGACTTTTTCTTAAAAAAAAAAAAACCCTATTTCTCACTCTCTCTTCTCCTCCCCACAACTCCCCCTTGAACTATAGCTGTCTAGAATAATAAGTGGTTTCTTGGGATAGGGGTTATAACCAGCATGGAAGCTTATCCTCCAGCTCCCAGATGCCTGGCTGGGCATGTGACCTTGGGACAGCATCCTAACCAGCAGGACACCAGTTCTTGGTGGGCAGCTCCATCCATCTCAGTGTTCACAGAGCCACATGGACAGTAATAACTTGTATACTAGAGGCTGCTGGGGTAGGAGAATCTTAAAAAAAAGTCAGAGAAGCAGCATTTCTACTTCATTACATCCCAATCATTCCAGTTCCTTGTAATTTGTTACCATCCCCCAAAACTCAAATCCAAAGACTATCATTGACCTCCCGATTACCAATCTCAATGGCAAATCTTCATCTTTATTTTACTTGACCTCAAATTTAACAATACTGGTTTTTCAGTTTCTTGATCATATTCAGAGTTCCCAAATGAGACTATTTCATTTGGTTTTTATGTTTCTAATTATTCACACTAACCGATTTGGATGGTTATTTTGCTTTTGTTTTACTAATCTAACGTATCACCCTGCCTTTATCTGTCATTCCCAAAACATCACCTCTATTTTTGAAATGCCCTAGACTGATATGTATAATTTTTCTATCCCTGTTTATCCTCAATCTGTCTGGTGCTCCCTAACCCCTCGCCAAGTTTTGTTTATTTGACCCTGGCAATGGTTCTAGTCCATATTATTCTATGTTTGAATATGCTTCCTCTTTACCCTTTTCCTGGAATATAATAACAGTTATTAAATAATATCCTTCTTGACCCTTCCATAAGGCCCTCCACAGTGTGGTAAGGTATCTTGTAGGCTTCACGTCGGCAGCTCAATATGTCATGTCCCCCGGTATTCATGCCTTGAATCTTCATGACTGACATCGACTCTGGGATTGACCAGGCATATATCAGCAATCACGGAGCAGCCGGAGATTAAGTGCTAGCACATCTGGGTTTCTCTTCTAGAAACTTCCCTTTTGGAATCCTGCCACCATACTGTAAAGAGGACGGCCTAGAGTTCACAGTTGGAGGAAGAGGGGTCATGTGGGGAACAGACACTGTGGCCAACAGTCAGCATGCAGGCCCCAGGCTCCAGTGAGGCCCCTTGGATTTCCAGCCCCTCCTGATTTCCCAGTTGGATGCAGCTGCATGAGAGACCCCAGCCGAACCCCCGGGGAGAACTTCTTTGTTGACCATGAAATCATTATAGATTAGACATTGCTGTTATTTTTAGCTCCTGAATTTTGAAGTGTTTTGTTATGCAGGAATAGAAAGCAGAAATGTTGTGTGTGAGCTTAAAATCCTTTGTTGGTCTCTAATTTCCCCAGAATGAAGTTAAAATCCCTCTCCACATCCAGCCACCCTTTCAACACCAGGATGTCTCTGCCCTGTGGCCTCATCTCCCATCTTTCTCTCCTCACACCACGTACTACACCAGTGACCAATCGCTCATGGCAGCTTCACAGGGCAACTCTGTGTGGTCAACACCTCTCCTCCAAAACACGACCGAACTCCCGCCTCCAGAGTGGCTTCTTCCCAGGAAAGCCAGTCTCTGACCTTGGTGCTCCCGCAGAGCCTCCTCCATGGGTCTTTCTTGCATTGGACACGATTGTTTATATTTGCTTTGATCATCTCTCTGTGCATATCTGCATTTCTCCAACTCAATTTAGAGATTAAGGGATCTCTACTGGCTTCTTGGGCCTTAGTTTTGCTCTTGTACTCTAGATACTGCAGCCACATTGAGTCCTACCTCCCCGCCCCCCACCTGGGTCACTCCTCTGTCTCCCTTCCTCCCACAATCTCATTTCCTGGACCTCTACTCAACCATCAGATGCTCTCTCAGATGTCACTTCTTCAGGAGAGCCTTTTTGATGCTGCAAGACTATGGCACCCACTTCTTCTAGAACTTCTTTTTATAGCAATTCCACTTAGCCCAGAAGCTATCTCTTACCTCCCTTGCCCTAAGTGCTGCTTTATTTGTAGCTTGTAATAGAACCAAAATTCTCAGGATCAGAGAGTGATCCTGACTTACCTTTGTATCTAGAACAAAGCCTGGCATGGAGTGTGTATTCAATAGACGTCTACTCCAATAAAGGAACAGATGAGTGGCTGGATGAATAGATGGCTATTCTTTGTATACCGTAGCCACACGTCCTGGCTTTTTACGAACAGTTATGTTTTCAAATGTTCCATGCCAATTCTTCACATGTACAACTTGCTCAGTGTTAGCTGGGAAGAATAAGATCCATGTACCTATAAGCATAAAGTATAGTGGGACTATCGCCTGCCTTTATTTGGTCTATTCACTTAATGTAGCCTAAACTTGCATTAACTTTTTATTAGCACCATATCATACTGTTAGCTTATAATGAAACTGTGGTCAAATAAAATCCCCAGGTCTCTTTCACATGAACAATTGTCAAAATGTATAAACAAACTGGTTGAATTAATAGCTGGCAACAGCTAATAGGGAAACCCTAGTGCTTAAAATGCAATTCTTTCCAGGCCAAATGTTTGCCCATCTTAACAGTAATTGCACAATGCATTTGCAGCTAAGGTCTCATTAAAACTTCATGCTCACCTGTGCTCCAGCAGCACAGAGGATGCATATGGGTTAGGGCAATGGCCAGGTGATTGCCTCCTGGGCTTGCCCAATTGTGAATTTCAGTTAGAGCCACATAAGTCTGTGCCTTTGTGCCATGATTTATTATAGGGAGTTTGTATCCCAGGGGACTTCAAGCAATTCAGAAGCAGCAGGAAGAGACAGGGAGGCAGGTGAGCAAAGAATTGAGTGACTGTGAGAGGTTTTGTGACACCTTGTTAATTATTAACTCTGGCAGTAGGTAGTCAAGTTAACCGGAAGGGGAGGGTGGACCTAATTAAGAATCCAAACAGCATTTCTAAAGAGCAAATACAGCCCCCAAACAGGCAGTTCTCATGGGGTTGACCACAAAGAAATCGTGCACCTTGCATCCAGCTGCCTCCATCACAGGAGACATAATAGGTTTGATGGCCAATTTTTAGCCCAAGGTAAGATGAATGGTACATAGAAGGGAAGGAAAACATAATTATTCAGACTACATGAAGGTAGTTGTTTAAATTACTCTTTTGTTCAGTGTAAGTCCTTGAGAGAGCACCCAGGACATGAGTGGTTTTGTAAGGACTCGAATACAAAGCAACTCTGTTCTTCACAACAATTGTGTGGAAATTATTAGAGGGCCTGGAGGGGTCAAGTAGAATTGAAAGAAAAAGGTTTGGTGAATAAACAGCCCTGGGAGGAGAAAGAGGAGCCCAGGTCCCCTCTGAGAATGCACAGACCTGAGGGGCTGGGTCTGTCTGGGGCTTTCCTGTGCAGGGAGGGGCTCATCCTCCTTGGGACCCCTCTTCCTTCAGGTGCCACCTGACCTCACTTCATCCTGGGTCTGCAGATGTGGGATAAAGGATGGTGTCTACTTTGTAGAGTGCTGAGGATTAAATGAAGAAACAGAAATAAATTTTCCAGAAAAACCACGTCTCCATAGCAGGAGCTGGATCAACAGCAGGTGCCCTGTATGCTCCTGCCATGAAGCTGGCGAGATCAGCTTACAGGAGGGATTTCCAGAGCAAGAGTCTCAGGAAGGTGTCCAGAGCCCACTTTGTGGAGCAGCTGGAGAAACGTAGCTTGTCTGCCCTGCTGGCCACTCACTGCCCTACCTTTCACTGGGCAGCCAGGGGAGTCCCCTTTACAACTACAGCAAGCCCTTCCCAGGCATTCCCCTGCCTCCCATAAATCACTCAAGAGGCTTGGAGAGTTTTCTTTTACTTTGTCTGTGAGAATGAAGTGTACCCACTGTAGGAAACTCAGAAAGTAAAGAAAAGCCAAATGATGAAATAATTCAACTGCTCTGAAACAACCCTCCTTACAAGGTTGACGTTTTGGTCCACTTCTTTCCAGACTTTTTTCTTTACATATTTATCTCTGCCTGTTTGAAAGTTACACACTCTGTTTTCCTCTTCAAATCTTTAACTTAACCAAAATTTACAGACTCTTTAATCATTCATATTACAAACAAAAGGAAATCTTTAGTGACTCCCAAGTGGGATGATAAATTTGGCATCTTTTACTTCTTGCTCTTCCTTTCTTTCTTTCTTGTCTTTTGAATCTTAAACACTAGAGTTAGTTACTGATACGTTTTAATTAGATATTATCTCTTTAAGATTTGTTATTTTGATATTTGCATGCCATAAAATGCAAGGAAATTCTCAAAGAAAAGGAGACAGGGCTGAAGCACCCTCCACTGAGACAGGCTTAGAATCCATAAAGAGACATTATTCACAACCAAAACAAAACAACTCCAAAACATTTCCAGGAGAAATTGGAGACAGTCCTGGTAACTGGAAGCCCTTACACTTCTCTTAAAAACAGTAGCATGGTGCAAATTTGAAGTGAAACTTGAAATTGTGTTCATGGTTCCTTTTCATCCAGCATCACCAATAGTTACTGTGCAGCTGCTGCCTAGTGGGGTTGGGCTCTAAGTCTTCAAAACAAATCTCCAGGGTGCTTTATAGTTTGCAGTGTACATTTACTTAATGCTTTGCATCTGCTCTCCATACTATCCTCTGAAAACTAGAAATCGCTGTGTTCATTTTTACATACCCAGACACTGAGACCCAGAATAGTTCCAACTATTTTCCCAGCTAGTTACATGGCACAACCCCGGTTCCTTGCCTGAGTCTTCTCCAAACCTGAATGCTCCCAGGGCAAAACAGCTCCTCTTGCCAGAAATATCTGGAAGGCCAGTGAACTCCATCTTGGGGCAGAGGTGTGAATTGACCAGAGTCTCAGTCTTTAGTTCAACAAAGCACAGTGCTTCATACACATGAGGGTTTCTAAATCCCAGGTTTTCTGGGAGTCTGTGAGTGTATATAATTGTCATCTGGAGAACACATTTATATACTTCTCCCACTAGTGATTTTTTTTAAACCAAGTTGAACACATCTAAACCTCAATTCAGTCTCCTTGCAGAAAAAAAATACATTTATTTAAATTGTTCAGCCCGAAGAATAAAAAATGGAATTTAAAAAAAATTATAGATGGGGACCTGAGAAAGTGTATTGACCTCAAAGTTTGAGGGGCAGAGGGGTTTAAAAACTGTCTCAGCTTTATCTGCTTCTCTCTCCATGATCATTTGCCTTCCATGCTACAGGTGCCGTCTCTTTCTGACATTAAAATGGCTGACACCCCAATTCTCCAAGATCTAACTGAGTCAGACCCTGAGAACTCTGCACATACAGTGACAATATTGTCCTTCTCTTTCTAAGCACTTAAGAGTCTTGATATAAGTCTCTTCTAAAGGATAAATAACCCCGGAAATTTCTCGTTCCCAACAAACTATCCTTTGTTAAAGAATTAGGATAAAAAGGAATGCAGTATCTCCTCAGTGGGAAGGATACAGGAAATGATATTCCAGTCCAAAGCAAGAAATTCAAAGAGGTTGATTCAGAGGTGTCTGTAATCATCTTTGGTTTGGGAACAAGTGATCTACCTTAATTTAGGGTGGATGACCAAGTTCAGTCTTCCTCCTCTATTAACTGATTTCCACATCTATTTCCAATGGATCCTGTCAGTGTGGCTCTAGCCCCAGGAACAGGAAGTAGGAGTTTAGTTCTCCGTGCCTTTGCCAAATGTGTTTTGATCTTTTGATATTACAGGTGATGAAAGTCACCTAGCATCATTACTTTTTTAGTAGGAGGTAAAATTTAACCTGTAATGGCAAGTGTTTACTGAAACTGTAGAATTTGTTAGGTTAGGAAATGGTTGCTGCAGAGAATAGCTACATTTGAAAGGAACCATTGTAAAATACTGTACTTACAGTTCAATTTAGGAAAGAAAATAGCAAGCCTTTCAAATAAACCACTATGCATATTTACTCTTACCTACATAACCCGTCACTGAAACTTATCGATTTACACGGGAGTAAAATTATTTATAACTTTATTTATGTCATTAAATCTGAATCACATTAGCTGGTCACCACCTTCTATTTTTCACAATTGTGAGGTATACATTTGGAGATACTGTAAATATGCTGAAATTCTTTTCTTACCTTGATTTCTCCTTAGATATTAAGGAATGTCAACCCTGGAGAGGCCCCTACTACAAGTCAGGCAATGAGCTAAGTGCTCATGATAAGTTATTTCACAAACTTCTCTAACCAAACTATTGTACTTTTCATTTTGCAGATGGAAAGCTTCAGATGAGTTAATTAATAATTAATGAGTTAAATAATATAAACCAACTAAGAAATGTCAGAACTGGCATCTCAATCCAGTTTTTGTCATTTTTTTTTAATCAACATTGTTCCAAATTCCCCAAGAATTAGCTCTGGGGAACTCTAAGGAGCCCAGGGTTGTAGTGAGGACTCCCTTAAGTCTCCCTTGTGGAAGTTCATATGCCTCCATTGATCAGTGCTGACAAACTCACGCTCCTGGAGCCCTGGGGAGAAATCAGGGGCACGCTAGCATGCACTTAATATAAGCATGGCATTTCCATAGCTGCTGATTGCATTTCCATTTCCTCACCTGTCACTCCAACCTCTGCCCAATCAGGTAATATAGCAAACACCCAAGAAGAGAAGCATGGAGAAAAGGTCCGCCCAATTTGTGTCTTTTAAAAGAATAAATTGTGTCATTTGCAGAAAGAAAACGTAGGGTAAGGACTGCCAATTCTGTCATTATTTCTCACTTTGGACTCTGAGGGTGCTAGGAGCAAAGGACACATTTGTCTGTGTTAGTGAAGTAAGTAGAGGGGCTGGAAGAAGTCTATGCTTTTGAGAAGTCCTTGGATGACAGGAGCTGGTCCCCTGCTGCACTACATGGAACCTTGCTTCTCTGTTAAGGGGCCGGGAAGGGGCGCTCATGTGTTGTGAGTGTGCACGCAGCATTGCCATCTGTCTGGGTTGGAATCCTATCTTAGTCTCTTTGGGCAAGTTATGGATCTATGGATACTCTCAGTTTTCTCATCTACCTCACAGAGGGGGATTCAAAATACAGCGGGCCCTGCACTAAGACTACAGTTGGAAAAATGCCAGTCACCCCAAGGGTAGCCGGGTCCTTTCCTGCCAACGTGTGCTATGACAGTCGGTGGCTTTGATGTCCTTGATCTCACTGTGCCCTCATTTTCTAATGATTGGGATCAGGCTCTTTAGTATTTTTTCCTTGTTAATTGAATGACTAGTTCTGGATAATGGATAATTCTCCATTTTCTATTTTTAGAAAGTGTATAAATATCTAAATTAGATTTAGGCAAAGTGAGCTGCGCTATTTGATATGCCGAGAACATAATTAGGTTGCTCCGTTTACCTACACAGTCGCAAGCAAACTTTAACTCATTAATCTGTAAAGGACTTTGATGAACCTTTGAACTAGATAAAAATATGCCAGTCATGGCTAAGTTCTACTCTATTCTTTGAGAACTTTCAAAGGACAGAAAGTGACTAATATATTTGGTTTTATAACATCATCTGCCAGCTCTGATCATGCCACTTTGAGATCTTCAGAGGATTCTCACTGCCTCTGAGTCAAATAAAAGGCATTCAGGGTGAGCTAAAAGCAAAGTGCCAGGGGTTGGAACACCTGTGCTCTTGTTTCTGTTCTTACCTTTTCCTTCTGTGATCTCGGGCAGATGTGCACAGGCTTCTAGGCCTCAGTTTCCACCTCTGTGAAATAAGGTACCAAGCCTCATGTCGGTGAAGATACAGTGGCGAATCCAAGGGTAGATCTGATGTCAGGTGTGGCCACGTGCCAGGGAGCACCAGGGCCTGACTTCCCAGCCCTGGCTTCTCTCCTTGCATTCCCTCTGCCTTCTAAGGGCCTCCTAATGTCTGCATCAGGAAAGTTCTCTGGATTTTTCACCCTTTGTCTCTTATGCTCCTGGTTCAGAGAACTAGACCTATCATTGTGCCTCCCATGTGGCTCTTGTTAGCCTCCTGTGAGGTCAGTGCCATCCCAAAGGCCACTTTTCTTCATTTTCATCTTGACGAGACTCAGCA